CTTTCAACACATTGAAGCGCACAGTCTTACTGAGGGGTCGACACTCGCCAACTGTCACCGAATCGCCCGGTGCTACGTCCCTACACACCAGTCATACAAAAGCATACATTTTATTACATTTCCAGTACTTTTCAAATCATTTACAAAACAAACAAATTATACGAATAATCAGATAATACGAAGACTCCTCAGCGGTATATATTTATGTCTCAGCAGACCGTCGTGTTTATCATCACTTCAATCACTGCTAAGAGATAGGGTGGAGGACAGGCTATGCATACCTAAAACAGGGCGACAAATGAACAGACATATTGCGATGTCGTTTCTCGAAGCGGTTGTATTTGCGGATGTAGTGAAGATAGTCTCTGCGGATGACAATAGTCCTCTGCATCTTCATCTTCACCACAACTCCTCGCAGAATACGACCTCTAATGGCAACGTTGCCAGTGAACGGACACTTCTTGTCGATGTACGTGCCCTCCAATGCCTGTCCACATATGGAGATAACATTAGGTGAGAGGAGATGTGAATTGAGTGGACACTTACGTCGCGGGGAGTCTTGAATCCGAGGCCAACATTGCGGACATATCGCACACTTTTGCGAACTTTCTGTTTACCAATCACTGGCTTTCGGTTCAAATTAATTGTCGGCTGCTTCTGAAACGCCCTCTCATTCTGTCGCATTGGACACACATTGTGGTGAGATATGAATTGGTGGTGAAGGCAATGAGTGGTCACATACCTGGTCGGCCATACCGTCCTATCCGTGCATATAATCAATGATCAAAAACGTGACGAACAGACCATTAATGGGACGAAAAGGAAAAGGAAGTGCCGTTCACTACACGTTCGTAAACATAGTTACAGTTAGGGTGAGTGCAGTGTCGCTCACATACAGCGTTACGCTTTGTTGTGATTGAGTGTTGTGGTGTCTCATGGCGTACGTGAGTGAGTGAGTGTGAGAGAGACAGTGAGACTCCATTGGCTGTACGACTCATATGTTTGTGCGACTATTGTATCCCAAAATGGCTGACATGGCTGTCGTGACACCTTTTGTTGTCGAGGACTGTATGCCCACGAAGTGGTCACTCGCCCTCGAGTAGCCATCCATTCACTACCATATCGTCTGTGAGTAAGTGGACAGTCGACTCACTGCGAGTGCAATCACTGCGGCATAGATTGCGAGTCATATACGAGTGGTGTTTGAGTTGTTGTCATAGGAGTGACCCGAAAGACATTGAACTGATCCACAGGTCATACGAGTAATGCATTCACTGATGAGTGTTGAGTCCAAACAGACAGTGGTGTCACTATTGGTTGCATTTTGGGTGAATTAGTGCACAA